AAACTTAGGACATACCTCTTGGAAGCAAAGAGGAACCCACGGGGATCTGTACTTTGGGTGACATGGTGAGAGCAGGAAGCAGAGCAGCAGTAGGGGCTGTGGCTTCCGTGAATTCTCTGTGAAAAGCTTTCCCAGAAGGCACCACTCCTTTCCACCAATCCCCCTTGTACCTGCCAGCCTGAGCCTGGGGTTTGTTTGGGTTCTTGCTGCCAGGGTGGCAAAGTGCCACCCAGACCTTGTGGAGTGTGAGCCGTGGGGACACTGCCCTTGGGAGGAGAGGGCGGTCTGCATTAAGGCACAGAGGCCTCAGCCCTACTTGCAGATGTGGTAGGGCAAACAGCACTTCTTGTTTTGTTTTTTTTTTTAATTTTTAAAAAATGTTTATTGTTTATTTTTTAGAGAGAGAGAAAGAGATAGAGTGTGCGAACAGGGGACGGACACAGAGAGAGACATAGAATCTGAAGCAGGCTCCAGGCTCTGAGCTGTCAGCACAGAGCCCGACCCGGGAATCGAACCCACGAACTGAAGGCAGCCGCTTAACCGACTGAGCCACCTAGGCGCCCTGACAAACAGCACTTCTTAAAGCTGTAGTGCAGTGGGTGCTTGTCACTTCTCCTCCGTGTAGGTGGAGAAATTGAGCCCTGGCGAGAAAGTCACAGTTTCTTGACTAGCTGAGAATTCTCTTTTCGATTTCTTGTTTGAAAAGTACTTAAAGAAATCGATGCCTTTATCCGCACAGCTCACGGATCTACCTTTGGTGCTGCGAAGTTGGCTGACTTTTCCTGAGAGCGTCCAGCAGCTGTGTCCTGGAGAACCCTGGGGTTGTGCATTCCGTGACCTTTATTCCTGAGGAAGGAAGTTCTGTCTGGCCTGAGAGGCTCTGTACCCTCGTAGTTTTGGAGGGATCATTTCTTTCCTTAGTTTCTTTGTTTTCCTTGCAGGTTTGTGGGAGGTGTTTCTAGCTTTTACCATGCTACCTCTGGGTGGCGCTGTGGAGAACATTGTCAGTGCTTAGGTAGCTTTGGGATGTGGGCTTTCAGTGGGAGACACGGAGGGTGTAGTGAGGAGGCTGTGGCCTCCAGTGCCACGTGGCCCGGCTTCTAGCTGTTTGACTTTGGAGAAATGGTTCCACTTCCCCGAGCCTTGGGTCCATCAGGGGAGAAGGGAGAGGGTCGGACAGTCATTCCTGGAGCGGTGACGACTCCTTGCTCGTCAGGTGCTTGCTGTTGAACAACTTCCCTGCGTATGCCAGTGATTCCAAACTTGAATGGGCCTCACAGCCACTTGGAGGGCGTGTGCGCAAGCCCCACCTCAGAGGTTCCCATTCAGTAGGTCTAAGGTGGGGCCTGAGAATCTGTATTTCTCACATGTTCCCAGGTGATCCTTGATGCTCTTGGCCCCAGGTCCCCCCTTCGAGAATGACTGCATGGAGCTTATTTAATTCAGTCATCATGGCAACCCCTTCAACTTGCCATTCTTGTAATTGTCACTTGGCTGTTTGGGAAATTAAGGATCGGAGCAGGAAGTAACTTGCCCCGGGTCACACAGACACGAGGTGCTGAAGCTGCGCTTCGAATCCAGGGCTGTGCTGTGCAAAGCCGTTGTTAATAGATTCTGTGTAAGGATAGTTGTGAGCCCTGATGTGGTGACTGCCGGGCAGGGCTGAAATTCTCAGTAAATGCTGCCTCTGGTCCCTGTACCTCTTGAGACCAAAACTGGATCTTTATACAAGATGACAATTGACACTAAATGGTTTTTGTTACTGTTTTGTGGTAAAAACAGAAACGTTGGATGAGAAAATCCAGACTTGGGAGGCTCGGGAGCAGGACAGGGGCTGACCCGTCACAGTGTTGCTGGCTTCCATGGCCAGGAGGGACCGCAGACTCATTTGTGTAGCCTCCACTTGGTATTCTATAGTCCCTACAGCAAGGGGGCTCCCAGCCGGGGCTCAGGGAGGTCTGGGAGCTCCCTCCCTCCTCTGACCATGGGGCTGTGTGAAAGGGCTTCCTTTTTAATGTGGAAATTGGTTTGATGCAAGTAGCCCAGCCTAGCAGCCTTTCCTCTTTCTCTGCCTCTCCTGGTGCCCTTGAGGACAAACTGTCCATGCTGTGAGTCCCCCAAGCCTGTATAAATAGCACGGGTGCTCTCACGGAGGGCTGAGCTCCAGGGAAGCAATGGGCACCTTAATGCTGGGCCTTATAGGGAGGGAGCTGGACAGTGGAGAGAAGGCAGGGCAGGCCTGGCAGGGGAACAAGCAGGAGCAAAGGGTCAGAGGGTGGAAATGCAAACGTCCTGCTTGAGGTGTAGCGTTAGGCTTCTTCCTATGCTCCAGTCCTGTCTGCAGCAATGGTTCCCCTATGGAAGCTTACCTTCTCCTCTGGCCAGACCATAGGCAGCTTGACTACAAACTTGAGGCATTATTAGGATTGTCTCCTGCTGAGATAAGGGGCCAGGACTGCAGGGTTCCAGGAGGGGCCGGTCTCCTCCCCCAGTCTCAGCCTGCTCTTGGGGCTTCCTAGGAGCATGTTGGCTTGCTTTCTCGATTCTCAGTCCAAACGTTTGTGCTAGGTCTCCATGTGAATTCTCTGGAAGCTGAGTTATCACGGGGACTTTAGGTAGTCCGTTCTTTGCCTGCCCCACTCCACCCCACCCCACACCCTTATTTTTTTGCTGGCAAGAAGGAGTAGATTCTGGGGAGTCGTGCTCTCACATCCAGCTCCCCCAGCCTGGAGCAGGCCCTGACTAAGCTGGTACCTCCATCTCAGTGAGCTCAACCCTAAACTCTCTGGGTCTTAGCTGGATTAAGGGCCTAGATTGTTGCTGAGGAGGAAGGAGGTACCTCAGTAATTGCTGGTTAAATCTACCTAACAATAGCCACATGTGGAGGCAGATTTGAGGGTTATTAAATATGAGCACCACTCTTCCCCCAAACATGCCTTTGTTTGCAGAGCTGGGCAACCTGGGGAGGGAGAGAGAAAATGCTGCAGAGTCAGAAAGGGGCTTCGGAGGCCCTGTCTCCAGGAAGGAACACATGCTTGGTTCATGGCGAAGCCTGGTGACCAGTGTCCCAGCCCTGGCCTGGGCAAGCCGCTTTCTGGGGGCACCTTGCTCCAAGCCCACGGATGGACTGTGTCTGACTGTAAGCTCTGAAGTCCATGCGTGGGCAGCTGCTGTAGCAAAGCCAGTCCCTGCTGCTGTTTTAGACAGTCTTGTCACCCTGCAGCAGCCACCAACAGTCTCAGAGTGACACAGAGGGAAGGACAGGGTACAGTGCAGGGCCATCCCTAAGCCGGCCCCTCTGCAACTAATGGGGTACATGGCTACATGCATTTCAGCTTTTTCCTGGTGCCCTTTTCCCACACTAGAGAGGAAAGGGCAAAAAAGTGTGATTTGAAGGCATGCCCTTGGCTTCAAACTCCGGATGGCTCAGTTTCCCTGCTGTGCGCTGTATGGCCTGTGTGCACACTTTGGGTGGCATGGGCTTCTTGTGACCAGTTGCTTTTTTGGAGACCTAAGGTGGGCTCGTGTGTGTACGTATCTGTGTAATGGGGAACGGGGTCAGGGAAAGGCCTGGAATAAGGGTGGAGCTGCCTGTCAAGGGGGTGTTGGGCTCCTCCGTGGCTCTCTTGTCCGGAGCCACGCTTCCCCTGAGGTTGGGCCTCCGGAAGCAAAGGTCCAGCAGGCTCTAGGGCCCTGGAGGCAGGGTAGCAGGTGTTGGCTGGGGCAGAGGCCACGCGAAGTCTGGGCGCTCTGGAAGGGCTCATGGTCACCAGCCCCTGGTCTGAGGAGCCCCAGAGCCCAGGGCAGACCTTCCCTTCGGAGGTTTTCTCTCCTGCGGCTCATCAGGCAAGGTAAACGTTGTCAACCATGGAGAGCAGAGTGCAAAGTCCTGCAAAGGGGTGCCTTTGCAGGTGACGGATCCTTTGATTTTCGCTTTAAATTATGGATTTAAGTGACTCTGTAAACGAGGTTACTAAAAGTTAATTTTTAGAAAGGAACCTCGAATATAATAAAGACAAATGAGAGATAGGGAAATTACATTATTTACATTATATGATAGATCAAGAACATAGGTATGTTCTTACGAAGAAGTATAGATTTCTTGGGAGGATGGGAGGTAGTTATCAACCCTCCCATAATGCTGGGGGTAGCCAGGGGTCACGGGGGGGCGGGGCAGCCGGGGCCAAATGGCTACAGTGTTTCTGAAAGGCACTTTGGCAAACATTAAAATATGCGCACTTGAAAATAGGTACAATGCTTTATCTTTTGTCTGTTTGTACAGGGCTCTGTTTCTTACAATGTTTTTCTGCCATTTTTTTTTTTTTTTCTGGTAGTGAGCAGCAAATTTTCCTTCTGTGGATACAGTTATCTAATATATTTGTTACAACACTTATTATGTTTATATATTTACATTATAGTCGGTCCCGAAATGCTGTTATACATAGTGTCTACCCTGCTTGGGGTCCACATCACCAAGGTCACGAGCCCTGTTTCCAAGAGCCCTGTAATACCACCTGTTCTCATTAAAGGCAAGAGAGAGGGGTGGGGGGAGGAATGGGAAAAATAGCTGAAGGGGATCAAGACGTACAGACTCCTAGTTATAAGAGAAATAAATCGTGGAGATGGTAAGGTACAGCGTAAGGAATACAGTCAGTAACATTGTATTTAGTGTAGTGACAGATGATAACTGTACTTATGTGGTGAGCCCTGAATTACGTATATAAATGTTGAATCACTCTGTCGTACACTGAAACCCATACAGTATTGTATGTCAGCCGTACTTGAGAAAAAAACAAAGAGTGGGGATAGGATAGAAGATGAGGGAGAAGAGAAGTGGGCTTTGGTGTCTGTCGGAGATTCAAATCCCAGGAAGGAATGTGGGCAAAGCCCCTGACGCTGCACCAGCACAAGGGGAGGACTTGGTGAATGGAGCAATTGTTCCCGGGTGTGTAGGGTTCCTGTGCCTGGGGCTTAGTCACCCGGGCCCGGCGAGCGGTGGCTGTTGATCAGGTCCGGTCCCTGCTTCTTGGTGTGCCTGCCTTCCAGGCATCCCCACGGGACAGCAGTCTACCCCCAGTCTCACAGACCTCAGGGGAAGGAGTGCCCAGACTCCTGCTTACTAATGCATTCCATCGTCAACCCCTCAGAGCCAGGAAGTCCTCCTGTGTGTCTACACTTAATCCCCCTCACCAGATCTGAAGCTTATTTTCTTTCGCTCTTTCTTTAGGGGGAAAAGACTGAGATTCTGCTCAGGCAAGACATCTGACTTGCGCAGCAAGCGGCTCTATGTTGCAATCTCCCTGTGAAATCACTTCGCAAGGAGATCCAGGAGGAGGAAGTGAGAGGGGCTGAGGAGCGAGGGGTAACATCCCCGGCTTTGTCCTTTAACGGCTTTTGGAAGGGACGACATCGCCGTACGTGCTCATATCTGCCCTTGGGACTTATATCCTCAGCGGCGTGCTCCAGGTCTCCATGTGGCCATTTCAGAGGAATTCGAGATACACTCTGACCCTGCTCCTCCAGCACACCGCCTTGCACCTCCTCCAGGGCTCCCGAGCTCAGGGCACGCGTCTCTGTCCATCTGTTCACACAACCGGGCCCCTGGGAGGCACCCTCTGGCACACCCCGTCTCCCGCCCCTGGGGCGATCCAGCCCGAAGTCTTGTTACTTTGATGTCCTACAGCCCTTGACTCTGTCCACTTCTGCCCATCTTCACAGCTGCCCCCTAGTCCAGTTGCCTTTGTCCCCTCCCCAGCTGCAGCAACATCCTAGCCATCCACCCACTTTTATCTT